CCAGACGAAGACAGACTAGGAAGAAAGAGTGTCGAACTACTTCTGAATATTTACTCACTGAAAACCTTATGAATAGCAGAGAAACAGGCACTATACTTGTGTTTTATTCCCCAATGCTTAAAATACAGGCTAGGACAACAGCTCTGACTGCTTCTTCCTCATCAGTCTCCTCCAGGAGCCCCATCTTGTGACATTCCCTTCCTACCCAACTCCACTTTTCTATTCACTGCTTTGATGTTTTTTGCTAGTTTACCTTTTATCAACCTCTCTACTCCCAAGCCATCTTACATATTAATAAGAGAGATAATCGTATGTTAACTTGCTGCCTTTGTTGATGTAGCCTGATACATGATGAGAAGAAGCAGCTAAAAACATCCACTAATGACAGCAATGGGCAATGTATGAATTATGAATTTAGGAAAATTGGAAGTCATCAAAAATGAAATTGAATGCATAAAGATTGATACTGGAGGCATTAGTGAGCTGAAATGGACTGTTATTGACCATTTTGAATCAGACAGTCACATACTACACTATGCCATGAATGACAAATTGAAGAGGAACAATATCACACTCCTCATTAAAAGGAATATTTCAAGAACTACCCTGATGTACAATGCTGCCAGTGGTAGGATAGTATCCATATGTATACAACAAAGGTCAGTTAGTACCACTATTATTCAAATTTATGCACTAACCACTAATGCGAAAGATGAGGAAACAAGATTTTTACCAACTTCTGCAGTTTTAAATTGATCAAATATGCAATCAAGATGCACCGAAAATTCCTAGTTATTAAAATGGGAAAACTGGAAACAGAGAAAGATCAGCAGTTGTAAGATATGACCTTGGTGATAGAAACACTGCAGACTGCATGACAGAATTTTTTAAGACCAATGACTTATTCATTGCAAATACCATTTTACAACAGCATACATGGTGATTACACATATGGACCTCACCAGATGGAATACATAGGAATCAAACTACAATTGTGGGAAAAGACACTGGAGAAGCTAGTATTATCAGTCACAACAAGGTCAGGGGCACAAATGCAGAACAGACTATCAATTGCCTTTAAGCAAAATTGAATGATTTTAAATTATACATTCTTAGTGATCAAAAGGAGTCCTGGTGTGGTGCTGTGGGTTAATGCACCAGACTGCAAAGCCGTTTGAACTGCAAGGTCGGCGGTTCAAGCTCACCAGCTGCTCCTTGGAAACCCTATACAGGGTTGCTATGGGTTGGAATCAACTTGACGGCACCTAACAACAACATTTATACACTTCAATGGGTAGAAAAGGAAGCTATAATAACACAAACTTTTAGAATTTTCAAGTAATTAGACTTGCCTTTTTCTTCAAAGCAGAGGTTTCTGATACTGTGAATCTTCTGAAATTATACTCAAATTTTGATTGCATAAATAAATAGCATTTGTATTTTAATAGGGAACAAATCCATAGCTTTCATCAGACTCTCCAAGGGTATGTGTCTTAGCTATCTAGTGGTGTTATAATGGAAATACCACAAGTGGAAGCTTTTAACTAACAGAAATTCATTTTCATCCTTTTGGAGGCTAGCTCAGATTCAGAATACTGGCTCTGAGGGAAGGCTTTCTCTCTTTTCCGATGCTGGGGAAAGGCTCTTGTTTCCTTTCTGCATTTGTAGGCTCAGCATTCCTTGGAGATGTCCATGTGTCTTGGCTTCAATCTTCCCCTGGATATGTGCTTCAAAGGGCAGAGACCCCAGGTCTTTCTTGGTAGTACCAGATCCCTCTGATCTCTGCCCACTTCTCTCTCCTTTCATCTCTTGTAAGTAATAGGTGGTACAAGTCACACCGGAGGGAGGGAAGCTCCCTTTACATTGGATCAGGGCTGTGACTGGAATAAGGGTGTTGCATCCCACCCTTGGAGTCCTGGCATGGCTCTGTAGGATGAGCACTGGACTGTGAACCACAAGGTCGGCAGTTCAAGCCCACCAGCTGCTCCTCAGAAACACTATACAAGGTCGCTATGAGTCAGAGCCAAATCAATGGCACTTAACAACATCCCACCCTTAATTCTCTCGATGGCTTATCACAGCAGGTCATATCATGGGGAATAATTATATAATTGTCATATTACATCTTTACATACCTGCCAAACCACTGAGAATCACAGATCAGTTAAACTGACACATATGTGTGTGTGTGGTGGGGAGACACAATTCAATCCATGATAGTATGTAACCCCCAAATGGATAGGATTCTTTATTGCTTTAAAAAAGCAAATTTCAGCTACTGTGATATATCATTTAATGCAGGCTTTTGCCTAGAATATGCCACTTCAATAACTTGTAATCCAAAAAGAAAATGCACAATGACAGTGGTGTTGTTGGTAAGTGCCATCAAGTCAGTTCTAACTCATCATAGTGACCCTGTATAGAGTTTCCAAGGAGTGGCTGGTGGGTTTGAACTGCCAATCTTGAGGTTAGCAGCCTAGTGCTTATCCTACAATGCTACACCAGCACCTCACAGTGATATCTTTATAATTTAAATTAATTCATTCAAAAGTACCTAACTAAGCCCCATTGTTGTCCTAAATTCTGACTCATAGAGACCTAAAGGATAGAGGAGAGCTACCCCAGTGGATTTCCATGACTGTAAGTCTTTATGATGCATCTGAGGTATGGTGTTGGAAGAGAATATTAAAAGTACTATGGACTGCCAAAAGAACAAACAACAACAACAACAAAATCTTTACGGAAGCAGACTAGTGAATAGTTCTCTCAATGAGCGGCTGGTGGATTTGAAGTGCTGATCTTTGGGCTAGCAGTTGACTGCCTAACCACTGTGCCACCAGAACTTCTTGAAAAAGTATTACTCCTGGTATAGTGCTGTAGGATCAGCACTGGACTCCGAACCATAAGGTCGGCAGTTCAAACCCACCAGCTGCTCCTCGGAAACCCTATATAGGGTTGCTATGAGTCAGAACCCACTTGATGGCACTTAACAACAACAACAACAACATGTCAGGTGCTGGAGATACAGTGTTAAGCAAGAAAGACAAAATCCCTGCCTTCATAGGGCTTACGTTCTAGAAAGTGGAGACAAAAATAAATGAGTAAGCAAATAAGAAATTTCATATAGTGATACCTGCAGTGGAGAAGATGAAACAACAGTGGAATAGATATTGACAGAAGTGGAAAGAGGGTCATTTTGCCTAGAGTCATCAGGGAAAGTCATACAAATTGAAATTTGAATGACGCGAAAAGAAGAGCACTCTAAGAATAAAGACAACAGAAAGTGCTCACATCCTAAAATGAGAACATTGAACACCAGCACTTGAGGTTTCAAGAGAAAGAGCCATTATCTTCTCTCCACTCTGTACTCTCTACAGCTTTCAGAAGAATGTCTCTCACTCAAATTCAATAGTACTTTTTCCTAATGTTTAAAAAAAAAAACTTTTTTAGAAGACTCTTCCCTGCTTAGGGTCATTATTAGTTTACTCTTCTTCAAGACAGACAATATCATCAGACAACGTGAATAAAGACTTTTGGATTTTGTAATAACACAGAGGGGACAAAAAAAAAAGGGGGGGTACCAAATATGCCAAGATTTTTTAGAAGTTTCTTCCAGGTTGGCAGTTTTACAGGTTTAAAGATTCTATGCAAATTCTGTAAAGGGCATTCTGTGCTCAATCTTCCTTCCACCCCCAGAGTTTAGTACTTTGCATTTATAGTAGTATTTGTAATCTACAATACAAAAGAGGGTGAAACTCCAGCCAGTATGCATAAATTAAAGGGCAGGAGCGGTTCACAAGGAGCTGTCCAACAATCAACGGGCTGAACACCAGGAGAAGGTTTCAGGGACTGAAAACTATGCCTCAAAGATATTACAAAGATAATTTAAAAGAGAATGTTACCAGCCCAACTTCATGATATGCAGAAAACCGTTCTAGTCCCTTCTCCCAGCCTTTGACACACATGTCTTTAGATTCCCTCATTCTGCATCAACAAGACGGATTTTTAAATACCACGTACATCACGCTAATAATAAAGGCTTACTAAATAGATATTAGGAAGAACACAGACATTTGTTCATCTCCACCTCAGTAATTACAATCTGAGTACTTTAAATCTTCAAGTTACATTTGTAAAGCTTCAATAAGAGCCTGAAGCCATGTATGCCTTACACCAAGCTGAAACTACACAACGATCCCGATTAACACCACCAAATTAAAACGGATTTTGTTTCATATAAGGGCACAACTGAAAGCACAAGAAAACCCTAAGAGGTGAACCTAACTGGAAGCCTTCCTGCCTGGAAGCACCTCTACAGACACGGAAAAGATGAGGTAAGGCAGAGAAAGGGGAAGTGACTGCGAACAAAACTCAGAGGGTGCCCAGTCACATAAGCCAGGATTCCTGGTCCTTCCCTGCGGCAGAACCCGCGGAGGGATCCGGTGTCCGGTGGAGCTGGGCCACCGCGGGTCTCGGCACCACCCAATCGCCATCTCGTCTGCCCTCTCTCGCCCGTCTGGTGGGGACCCGAGACCCCGGAGTCACCCCTTCCTCAGTTGCAGCTTTCCTTCTCGATGCAGGAGTTAGAGTCCAGTCCCGGGAGCCCACGACGGATGCTCAGTAGGAGCTGGCCCCGCCTCGAGGTCTCCCAGGCAGGACCGCCAACTCTTACCTTCGGGCGCCGGCGGCGGCTCCTGTCGCTTCCCGCGGGACAAGAAAGCCTTGGGCAACAGCAGCGACACAGACAGGACAAGTCCAGAAATCAGGGCAACCCTCTGCACCGTGGAATACGCCATGGTCGCTAGCCGTCACCTCAGGGAACAGATCCAGCCGGAAGCGGAACTGAAACCGCAGCGCCGGCAGCTACCCTGGACCAAACCGCGAAGTGCGTGACGGCGCAGCGCGAGGGACAAGGTGCCTGCGCTCCAGCTCGCGTCTGGATCTGCCTTGCTCCTCCCTCCGAGTTATCAGTCCCAGTAAATGGTACCCTTGCCCTCCAATTTGCACCAACTAGAAACTTTTCCTTGCTCAAGCTCCACTTGTATTCTATCTTGTGCATTCTATTACCAACTTCTGGAAATCATCCACTCCATCCCCACTTATATTAATTGCATCACCACCCACCCCTGTAACCACCCCTAAGACCACCACCATCAATTTCCTGATGATCTCAACGAATTCATGGCCTTCCAGCTAACACTCTTGGCACCACATCCATTCTCCATCTGCAGTCAGAGTTGATAATTGTAAAAAACTTCAGTCTAATTATTTCCATCTTAAAACTTGTCAATAGCTCATTATATTCAAAACAAGTGTCAAATTCCTTTCTGTGACCTCAAGGCCCTGCATAATCTGGCTCTAATCAATGCGTCATCCAAATTGGATCATTTGCTATTTCTCTATTATATTCCTTAGCTGGTCCTGTTCCCTCTGCCTGGAAAATTCTTCGCCCCATCTCCATTTGTCAAAAACATCTCTGAAAAACAGCTTGAAAATACTTCCAGTGGTGATACTGTTTCAGCCAGCCTCTTCTTCCTCTGTATCCCCACAGTTTTTGTTACTGGCTTTCTTCATTCATTTAACAAACATTTTCTTAATTTTATGTATCAGACCCTGAACTTGGCATTAGAGGATCTGATGAATCAGATAGTGTCCCTTATGAGGTAGAGCGTGATCTAATCAAGAAAATGCAAGAATTATTGTGGACTCTGGAGCAGTCAGCTTAACTGGAAGAGGGACACAGAAACGCCTTTCTAGAAAAGATGTAATTTGAGTTTGGTTTTGAAGAATGAATAGCTTTCTAGGCAGACAGGTGGGCAGGGTTAGAAGGGTACTGAAGGAAAAGGAAAGAAAGAAAGCAAAGGCATGCAAACTTGAAGCTTGCTGGTGTGTTCAGAAAACTATCAGCAATATGGCTGGGCCATATGGTTGGTGACAGGACACAAAGATAATGATGAGAATACAAAGATAGGCAGGCACTAAATTGTGAAAAGCTTAGCCATGACTTCCCATTAAGCATGACAGATGGGACACATGCATTTTCTTTGCTTTCTCCAGATACCTCACAAAAGTAGAAATACAGAGTTAAAGTGCATAGAACCACAGACTTAGAGAATGGGAAAAACATGATAGCAGACAAGAAATGTCAAAATTTTGTAAGATGCATGACAACAATAATGAAAAGAAATATACTTCTAGCCACATATTAACTTGAAATTTTCAGTACTTTCTTCTAAAGTAAAAAGAAAGAGGTGATATCAATTTTAATATATGTTATTCATTCCAATATATCAAAAAAAGATCATTTCAATATATATAGTGCTAGTCACATTTCAAGGATTCATTAGCCACATTTGTCTAGTGGCTACTGTGTTGGACAGAACAGATGTAGAGCACAAAAATCAAAGTGCCATAGGAAAAGCCTAAAAGAAACAAACTGCAGTTAATCTCCAATTTACCATATAATTGTCACAATGCACTGCACTTATGATCATCCTTTTTAATTTTTATTTTTGGTGCATCATATCATTAGTAGCATGTAGCACATATAATATTGTAGTGTGTAATTTGTTGATGTCAGCCCCAAAGACAAAAATTGGATTTACAAAGCTACTGATAATAAAAGGCAATGATAATGAAAACTTTTGAAAAATGAGATATTCAACTTATATCAGGACCACTTTGTGATGGAGTTGGCATAACAGGAACCCTATTGTAAGTTGGGGACAAACTGTAATTAATGACGTTGTTGTTGTTGTTAAGTGCCATCGAGTCAATTCCAATAGCGACCCTGTATAGGGTTTCCAAGGAGCAGCTGGTGAGCTTGAACCACCAACCTTGCAGTTCAAGCAACTTTGCAGTCTGATGCATTAGCCCACAGC